TAAAATTGAATTTCTCTATTAAATTAAATCTTCTTCTAATTATTATTTAAATTTAATAAAATCAAAATTAACAATTTTAATCTTTCAAAATATTATTTAAATTACCTAAAGACAAACAAATTGGATAAGAATAAAAAGAACAATGACCTCTACTAACATACCATTCATGTATTTAAAACAATGAAAGCTAGTAGTTGAGAAGATCAACTAAAAGATGGATTTCTAGGTGCTGAGTAGAACAATGCAACATTTAAAACCACAGCGAAAGATATTCAAACTAAAGAGGTAAGTAACTTGTAAACCCAATCCTCCTTCCTTCTTCGGTGATTTACAACAGTTAATAAAAAAGATAACTTATAAAAAAATCAAGCTAAACAGCTCATGTTTCTGTCTTATATCAGGAATCAAGTGTAGCACTATCAAAAGAGTAGAGCAGCACAGAGAAAACAGCTAATGAAGTGTCTGACGAGTAGCTTCTAAGGGAAGTAGATATGGCTGGGAGCAGTAGAAAACCAGCTTCAATTGGCACTAAAATTGCTCTACTAGAGAAGCTGGATAGAGTGGTAGAAACCTTTAGAAAAGTGAAGTGGTAAAAAAAGAATTTAAACACAGAGGAGGAGAGAAAAAATCATGTATTTCATGTAAAACATACCATTTTCTTTTGCTGTATAAATTAACAAAACTAGAAATCAACCTTCAACCTTCCTATAACCAAAAAAAAAAAAAAATTGAAATTCAATTCAATTTTTGGGCATGTATAGAGAAATATTCACGACGGGCATGGACTAGGAACTAAAACAAATTTCAACCAAGCATCCCATTTCTACAGACGTACATCACTTTCATTTCAAGATAAAAATGGATCCACATAGTAGGAGATTTCTAGGTACAAATCGATTGCAAATGCAAAAGTCAGATATCCATTGGATTACATTAATTAACCACGCCTCTAAGCCCTCTCACCTCTAATTCTCCTAGCAAGCTGAATGTCCTTGGGCATGATGGTGACTCTCTTAGCGTGAATGGCACAGAGATTGGTATCCTCAAAGAGCCCCACGAGATACGCCTCGACAGCTTCCTAGAGAGCAACGACTGCACTGCTCTGGAACCTGAGATTGGTCTTGAAATCTTAAGCGATCTCTCGCACAAGGCTCTAGAACAGAAGCTTTCGGATCAAGAGCTCAGTACTCTTCTGGTACTTCCTGATCTCTCTCAGAGCCACAGTTCCTGGCCTGAAACGGTGAGGCTTCTTCACTCCTCCAGTGGCCGGTGCTGATTTACGAGCAGCCTTGGTGGCAAGCTGCTTCCTCGGCGCCTTGCCTCCGGTCGACTTCTTGGCTGTTTGCTTAGTTCGAGCCATCTCAGGGAACAACAGTGAGATTCTAAGGAATTTTGGGAGAGGGGGGAAGCGGGAACTTTCGAAATTTGCGACGCTTCTCATTGTCGTCGGTGAGAAGAGAGAGTGCAGACCAAATTCAATTTAAAATTGAAATTCAGGAGTTTTAGGGTGAAATTGAAATACACATATTTTACTCTTGAGAATTACATTGTTAAAATACATGTATTTCACTCAAATTCAATTATTTTTTATTTATGTAAAAACAAACAATGATATTAAATTTTAACCCCTTAAATTCAAATACATTGTTTCAAATTCGTGTTACCAAACAGACCATTAAAGATTTGTGATGAGTTAAATTTACTCTAATAAGAGTATTAATCAATTCAAGTAATATAATAATGAGAATAAAATATCGTCTCATAGAGATTGTAAATTAATTAAGTACAAAAAAAAACTAATTTTAATTTTATTTAAACAATTAAAATTAAATGATTTGAATAAAGTAATTAACTAAAATAATTAAAGAAAAACTAAATTGACTTTGAGTAATACCAAGACTTGAAATTTTAAGACATTCGATTTCATCATAATCAACTGATACAAAATTTAAATTAATATACTTTCAATGTATTTATTATTTATGTGACACTGGGTTTTCCTATCTTGTTTGATATACTTTTTTAAGTTATACCAAACTTATCTTCACTTATTAACTCATTATATTTTTATGTGAATTTAAATAGATAAAAATATATTATATTTTGTAAAATTTCCTAATTTAGAAAGAAAATTAAATCCACTTATCACTAATTTATAAGAATCACGTTAATTCATCTCTGACTTCCATTCAATTCATGGTATATAATATTAGAAGTTATTGCATAAAATCTTCTCTCGATCTCAACTGTGCTTTCCAAATTAATTTTAATTGTGGTCAATTATTAAAAAACATTAAAAACATTAATATATACTCTACGTAAAATAATAAACTTTGAAAATATAAAAATCATAGAACTCTATATTAAATTGATCAAGTTACATTATAGTTTTAGATGGATAAATCAGTTCATAATTTTTAAAAAAATTAACAATTTCATTATAAATATATAAATGATTAATATCATAAAATAAAATTCAAAGATGATATAAAATCTTAAGCC